AGTCTATGTATGACAACAACGAAAACTAATTGATATACGTAAGTTGATCAAGTGTGACAGGTAAATCATGTTAGTTTAACCTAGCAAGAACTAGACAATGACAACTCATCTACCATGTTAGCAAACTTTCTCATATTATTGCAATAATTATGTATGACTTGCAAAAAATAAAAATTTTCAAACAATTAAATCAATTTTAACATCTAATTTAAGTTATAGGGTGCTTTTTACATTATATAAAAAAAAAAAAGTATCATAACAATAATAATAAAAATGATTAAAAGTCAATGTTCCATCAGTTAATAATTTTTTACTTGTATTCAAGTTTTCGTGATAAAATGACGAAAAGAAAGAAAATTTGAACCGAAGAAAAAATGTTAAAACTTATTTATAATTTTACTTCTATTCCCTACTATTCAGTATTGCGTAATCAAACATAAAATTGGATTGTAAACATATTTTTGATCTCTGCATATTTGAATCCAACGTTCAACTTCCATAGCAATAGAGGAGGATTTTACACACAATTGTCATCCAATAAACATGACAAGACAAAACATTTATTCTCAACATAAATGTAGTGTCAACTTGACTTGTAAATGTGTTAGTGTCTTATGAAAATCTGAAAATGGATAAGATTTTGGAGCACAATGCCCCCACAAATGAGGCAACTTGAGTTTCCCTCAAATTAAAGGAATAATGGGGACCATAATTAAGCCACTTTCAATGCAAAAGGAAAAGGTTTCCATATGGAAACTAGCTTTTGAATTTCAATTTGTCCCTAATAAAACTTTCAACGATCGTGACATATTTGATAAAGTGCGTTAAATAAGGTAAGAAAAGTACCAAATTATGAAAAATATATATATATATTATATATTATACGACAATATAATTTACTGTATACCAGATATTTATTAGAATTTTGTCGAATTTCATCCCTAAATCTAATAACCTTTTTTTTTTTTTTTGGGGTGTAGTATATAGACATGACGTGAGTAGATAGTATTGTGAATGAAATTTGAATTTCTTTTTATTTTTTAGTACTTTCGAGTGTTGTAGACCTAGGCCTCCGTTTGTTTCTCATTTTTCATGCATAAAAATAAAGAATATGACCGTTATCCATCACATCAAGCCATCAATTTTAAATTTTTATCTCTTGTGTGGGGCCCAATAACAGTTATATTTTTCATTCTCATTCTACAATAATGAGAATCAAACGGCGTTAAGATGAATTTGAATTTCAAACTCCGATTAACTGATTTTACACAAGGTAATAACTAATAACTTTTATAGGTATCAATGTTTCTAGTCAAAAGGACAAAGGTAGAGTGTGCCCCAACTTTAACAATCTTTCCAAAATATTCCTCCTCAAAAGTACGCAAAATCTATATAGTATTTTTGTAATATATATTCTCTTATTTGTAACATCTGTAAATAAATTGTTCTATGTATCATTTTTTTAGTATAAAACTAAATTTTCTTGTTTGTCTGGTATTTGTTTCATTAACTTTAATTTTATTGTTTATAACATGATATTAGAGAGAGAATATTTGTAATAATCATGGTCTACCTTCGAGTTTAATCACGTCGTCTAACAAATTTTGAACATATTTAGTTATGCCAAAACCTAGTAATCATCCCTTAGATGGATACGATATCATTCTCTTTATTAATCACTACATAAAAAGAAGGGAACAAATTTTCCTCGTAAGTTCCTTGACTTTTGTTGCAATTAAAATGTTAGACGTCACTCAATTAGTGCGTTGATAGCGTGATGGAGTTGCCAGTGAGATGTGAAATCTTAGAGAGTCTTAAATCAATTCAATTTAAATAGAATTTAACATTTTCAAGAGTTCTAAATTCTACTTTACTAGAGTTAGGATCATCGCATTTTTAATCTTTAACGAGCAATTCTATCCTATTAAAATTCAAAAAAGAAAAAAAAATTGAACACGTGAATTTCAAGATTGATCCAACATCAGATAAAAATGAAAATATAAACCAATTTACGAGAGTTTGGACTACTCCTCTTAATAAGGTTGACTTTTAGGGCTTGTCTGGTAGCCATTATTCCCAGATTTTAAGCCAAAACCTTACCATTACAGTCAACTGGTGGGTCCCCCCCTCCCAAGCAGTCAAAAATGGCTGCTCATTTGGTAAATAACGGTTGAAATTTTGATTTTAATTGGTCTAATAATGGCTACCAGACACAGCCTTAAAATGGAACCTCAAATCTTATCAATGTCCATGATTAATTTTAAATACTATGATGTAAAGAATATATGCCCAAGGAGTTGGGTTGTCGATTAACATTAAGTAATAATCGATCGATCGTCCATCTAAATAATTCTTTGTATTATTCTATGTTGTACAAGTTACTTTTCAATAAACAAGGCTATTTATAACTTGACGGCTAAAACTTTAAGACGTCAATACAAATATGAGTAAAACAAGTACTCAATTAACCTTACATTTCTTGTCATTGTTATTCACTCATAACCATATCGTAACCCAATTACCTAAGTACATAGAAATTTTACTCTTGACTTTGTGTGACTCGTGCTATTTATTGCAATATTTTCCCTCTTCAACTTTTCATCAAGAGTTAGGTACACAATCAATGATTCCGACATGGATGTTAATGCTACAAAAAAAATAAAAATCTATGACCTGCTACAGATTTTGCTGTAGAGGAAATATCCATATTCTTTTCTTGTGTCCTTGTCTATCTATGCATGTGTTTAATATTTAGATACACACACGCACAAAATACGATATATGGTTAATATTTCGAAGCAAAACATTTCAAATTTTGGCGACCTTGGTGTGCTGTCGTAGGCACCCAAAAATAGTCCTTAAACCTCTAAAACTAACGTAGTAATGGAAGTAAGGGTCGATCCCACGAAAAGTGTGTAATTCAATATTTATGCTTCATACAATGATTGAGGGGATTTTGTATTCACACAATTGTAAATAACTCAATTAATAACAATGCCAATTAAATTAACGAAAACAATCAAAAGACTAACCTTGGTCTAAATCCACATCCACCATCGGAAATCCACAATTGATCATAGATACAAGGATAATTCAATTCATATTTCGAATATTCATCGTTGGAATTGATTCCCATTTCTCCTTAATTTTAGTTAATTAGAGACCAACGTTCTAATTAACCCTAATAATTAAATAACCCCAGATCAATGCTCAAGATTCAATTTAACAACAGCTTTACACAATAGAGAAATCGATGAATTAGATAACACAAACACCAGCAGTTGCATTCAATCTATTTAAACATTCTTCTTAAAATTCAATAACCTCTATCGCAGAAAATAATCAAATCCTAGTGCTTCACAAGTTAAAGGGATCAAACAATTACGAATTTGATGTTTAACTTAGCGGTAGATTGTTACAATCAATAAACTAGCGGGCCCTCTAGCAATTAAACGCAACAAATCATAGAAATAAATGCAGAAGAACATTCAATACTCAAAATATAAATCAAACAATAAGAAAAACTATTTAGATCTCACAATATGTGGTTTCGAGGCTTCCGTTTCCTTCAACCAAATGTAAAAGTTTAGTTACAATTCATAAATCTAAGAGAAAAATCGAGAAGAATGAAGTTGGGGGCGTTCTGGTGTGTTTTGGGGTGTTTTTAGGGTTGAAAAGTCGTGCAAGATATGTTGCCAAAAGAGTTTGAGTCAATTTAGGAAACTTGAGATTCGACATCAGGAAACAACCATGCGATCGCAAGGTATTAAGTCATGCTATCGCAAGGAACAAATAAATTCAACCTTCAGACTCTCGGTGATAGTCTGTGCGATCGCGCGGAATTAAAGCCATGCGATCGCAAGGCTTTACAAAACTTCCTCCGGACAGCCTTCAGTATTTTGGCCGTAACGTTCTCTCCCGATGTCCAATTGAGGTTATTCAAGATGCATTGGGAAACTAACTCAAAGGGCTACAACTGTTATTCAGATGCAATCTTCGAATTCGATCGTTTGAGATGTCAAAAACTGGTCTCAATATGAGACTGAAAACCGGTGCAAAACTTTTCAGTTTGAAAGTTGATATGTGATAATGTTTTGGCTATATTTCACCCCTTTGACTTCTTTCTTCATCCAATTGGCCTCTGTTACTCTCAAGTCTTCATCGTGAGGTTCGATACAACTTTTGAATATTTGCACTTTGGTTCCCGAACTTTCGCTTTCTTTCATTTTGGTCTTTCCCCCCTCATTTCTTCCAACTTACGCCATATCTATCGAATTGCCACCTAAACCAAAATATGAGAATACTAAGTACATTTAGGCATAAAATAATCATATGAGCGCATTAAATAAACTTGCAAAATGTGTATTTTATATTCCTATCAAATTCTCCTACACTTAGCTAGCATAAAATAATCATATGAGCGCATTAAATAAAGATACAAAATGTGTATTTTATATTCCTATCAGACCTCAAAAAACAGTTTCAACACAAGCTTTTGCAATCAATAACAAAGTGCTTAAATGAAGAAGACAATGACCAGATGTAGAGAAGAAAAAATGCATTTTAATTACAATGATTAAATGACTTGTTTCATAAAGTGGACTGAAAGACTGTGTTATAGGAGAAGAAACTAAAATATATATGACCTCGAATTTTGCTTTTGTGCTATTTTAGGTGAAAAAGTAAATCACCTTGCCGTATAGTAATTGGTTGTTGCAAATAGGAAAGCTTGCTTGCTTTGAGTTTTTGCTTCCGTTTCTCTAGACACGAGACTGCTCGAAGAGCATCCTGTAAAATCAAGGGAACAGATTAATTAGACAATGATAATAATGACAGATCAAATATATGCAATGAAATAAATACAGGAGGATGGATCATCCAGATTTGTACCTGGAGTGTAGCTTAAAAGAATGATAAGAGGACGATCACTGATCATTTTGGGTTCATGCATTCTTAGGAATTTCATGCACTAAAGAATCAGATTTGCAATACCGTGTCAATCATCGAACACGGTTGTAGTCAGAAAATGGCTCTGAGTTAGCCTCTGGTGCAGATTTTGCCACTTCGGGTGTCCCAAAAACATTCCAAAATCTCAGTGTTTCATCCCCTGCTGCTGATGCAACTGTGCATCCATCCGGGCTCTGGATCAGAGGAGTACAAGAGAAGGATCAGAGTTAAGATATTAAGAGATTATAGTGTTGCTTTATCTTCTCATAAGATATAAATCAGTACCTGAACCATGAAAAGAACTCTGGATGTATGCCCAGTGAGCTCAGCTATTTTCATCATGGAAGGGTATTTCCAGAGAGAGGGCTGATTCTGAGTAAAACCATGAGAGCTAAGCAATTCGTGCTCATTTTTATTCCATAACAAAGCACAAACCTGTGAGCCTGTGTCAACTGAGCTCAAGCACCCACCGGTGTGTGTGTTCCAGAATTTTATGCACCGGTCACCTGACCTCCACCTGAGGCCAATAAATTACCTTGCCAAGGACACCACGCAAGACCTTGAAAAGCAGCTGTGTGTTCCTGAAGCCTATGAAGCCACTGTGTTGGAGCATTAGACGAAGCCGTCGATCTGTCCCATATGTGGAGGAGGTTATCATTACCACCACTGGCTAACTGCTGGCCGGAGGCTGACCATGTAAGCCCACAAACTTCTCGATGATGTCCACTATACATTTCAACAATGTGTGCTCTCATTCTAACATCATTGTTGATGATCCGACCATCCATACCTCCAGTAGTCAAAATGTGATTATTCCAGTCCAAAGCACCAAATCGTGACCCATGGCCCCCTCTCAAAGTTCTCAGCTGCAGTACATAATGAAAATATGTAAATGTTATAAATTGACCTGGATATAGCATCGGGCATCCAAAATTTAGTCAATCAAACACACAAAAAAGTGGAAATTGAATTTAATCTCCAACTTTCATGGAAAAGAAAGCCAAAACAAACAGGGCTTATTGTTTTTAATTTTTATTTAAAAGATCTTCTTCATTATTAATTTATTATCAATTGGTAAAAATGAAATGTCCTAATTATTATTTTGAACTCAAATTACTGATAATCTAATTAATTAAATACAGTTATTATTATTATTTTTTTCAAAATCCCATCGACGCCTTCGACTTTGAAAATATACTATGCTTGGCCTTTTTCTTTTATAATATAATGTGATACCATTAGATGAGAAGTTGGGTCATCAAGTAACACTAAGATAACTAGCTAATTGCATGTATAATCCTTTAGTTTTATTTCATCAATTGTACTGCTCATTATTGAGGAAAAAAGTGATGTTAGATGCAAAGAGATGAGGCATCCTTCTTCGATTTCTTAGGACGGCATTGGGCTCTTGGGAAGCAATTGATCGACTAACATTTAGGAGAAAAGTAATTAAAATTGTGTGAATATGGTTACCCGTTGGAAGGTAGAGAAAAGAAACTTTGCATCTCATTAAGAGTAACTCAATGACTTGTTTAGTAAAGTGGATCTTACAACATTGAATTGTATTAATGAATTTAAAAAAAAAAAAATCAATCTTGTTCATTACAATGTTCAGTACTGCACTAAACATTCCCCAAAACATCGATCCAATTGGATATCAACAGGTGTCATGCTAGTTTAGGTGAAGAGGTAATCGCCTTGCTGTGATCTTGGAGTAGCTGCACAAAGCTTATTCTCGAGAGGGCTAAATGGGAGATGACTGTGGCATTGATTTGGCTTCGCAGGACGTAAACAAGCAAGATGACCGTGTAACAATTGGTTGTTGCATATAGGAAGCTTGCTCGTCTGAGTTGCTGCCTCCTTTTCTCTAGACACGGGACATCTTGATGGATCATCCTGTAGCGCACAAATCCAATCCACCAAACACAAGTTAATCAAGGAAAGCACAGATTAATCAAGAATTGTACAAAATACTATCATCAGATTAGCATGCTTCAAGGAACTCACAAACGTGGCCGAGTATAATCCAAAATCGTAAAAAAAGATTAATTACCCCAAGAACAAGGAAAGTGAATGCTTGCTCCTCCCCACCAAGATAGATTTCTATCAACTTCCGCAAGTCAGCAAGAGTCGAATCTTTCAAAACCTTTAATGTGGTAATAAAATTGCCAGCATTTTCTTTTGAAGCCTCCCATTTCACATATACTTCAAGGTCACCACTTGTTTCATCATCATCTAACGGGTTGTGATTCTCCTTCGAATCTTTTCCTATCTCAGCATATCTACTAATTTTTCCAAGCTGTCCCACGCTCTTCGAAGGAGATGATGACAGGGAATCAATATCTTCTAACTTCTTTCTAACAGGTGTAGGAGTTTCGTGCTGGGAATGTTCTCTTTGATCTCCACATAGTGTGAAAATATTTTGAATCCTCATTTCTCTAGAGGTTGCATTGTTGTCATTTTGTGGCTTGCTGTACAATTCAAATCGTACAAGCTCGACTGTATCTTCATAATAGTCATCTTTCTCTGGATTTTCACATGAAAATTCTGGCAAATCGAGAGTGCTAAGATATGTCTTCTCCTCCTCAATTACCTCTTTCTGCACTTCCTCCTCTAATAATTTTTCCTCACTCTCTTCTTCTTCCTCCTCCTCCTCATACACTGTGCTCAGCCATGTTTTGTTGGTGAAATTTGATGAGTCTTCATTTGAATTGTTCATGTCACAATATCCAGAAATGGCAGTAATTGAATTTGATTCTGCCTTGTGAACCACATCATCATATTTAATAATGCCCATGTCAAGCGACTTATCCAAATCCATGGATTTTACCATCTCTGAATCCTCGGAACTGACCTCCAAAAACCTTTTAATAAAGCTGCTTTCCTCTATGTCTGCTGACAATGCACTTTCAGCCCTTGAAGAAGAAAGCTCAGACTCAATCTCCTCTAAACGACGCCTGAGCATTTCAACCTCCTGTTGCTGTTGAAATATCTTTTCTTCCATTTTTCTCCTTTCCTTTTCAAGAATTTCATTGGCCATTTTCTGACACTCCTTTATCTTCCTCTCTAATTCACTTTTCAGCATCTGTGCTCGCTCGTTTACTTTTGAATCAATCTCATCTTCGCTTATCCTCGTTCCTCCTCCGTCGACTATTGCAAGTTTAGTCCTTAATCCAGAAATTTCTTCTTCTTTCTTCTTAAGCTCTTTCTGTGCCTCATTGCGCTCTTTTTCCCTAAGTCTGCTTTCCATCTGTAACGTATAAATAAACTGGTCCATAGCTTCAATTCTTGATCCCAAAATGACTGCTGATGAAGAATCTTCAGCGCCTTTGTTCTTAATTGGTGTAGGGGGCCCACGGACTATACATTTTGCTTTGGCACCATATTCTAAAGTGGCAATAGTTTTATGCAGCTCCTTCAGACCCGGGCTGGCACAAAGTATCATCAGAATTTTGGACTTATCATCTTCAAAAGAATCCTAGTGAAAAATGCCAACTTGATTTCAGAAACCATTGAAGAACTGATTGAAAATTGTAGAAAAGTGACAATAAATCACATCATTAAAAAAAAAAAAACCTGAAGAAGCATGGTTAGCTTGCTATCTCTGAATGGCACATGAGAATCACCATTTGCAATGGATTCGACCACTCGTTTTAATGCAATGTTTCCTTGGTTGATCTTTGCTGTCTGCATGTAGGAGGAAAAACACGAGATTATCGTATGGATAGAAATCATTTGCATCACAAGGTGTCAAGATTCTGGTTGAAGAATGATTTACCAAGCACGTATAATCTTGAAATTTATACCTGCATTTTTGCTTCCATTCCATTTTGACCCGCTTGTTCTATATTTTCAGATCCTGCCATGTCTACAAGCATAAGTCGTCCTCCAACAGTTGGAACATCAAGAATTATCTGCAAGATTGTAAAAGAAGTGAACTTTCTACCCAAAGTCAGAAAATTGAAAAATTCTTCAATCCTTTTAAAAGACTGAATAAAGCTTTGCAATAATTGGTACCATGCAGTGGCTTCGAGAACTTCTCTCGTTACATAGTGTACTTTTAACAATTCTTCTCTTCTCCACTTTTTCGATCTCTTTCAATATTTTTCCAGCTTCATTTCCAGATATAAAACTAGCATTTTTTGCCTTCTTTCCCATCACTTCCAGTTTCACCTGAAAAAATTAAAGAATTGAATTATTAGAAAAATGCTTGAGGGTGCATAATGTAGTGGAAAATGGGGATAGTTCAAATATGCTAAATCATCTCAACAGAATAAATAAATCCTTTTTTCAAGTACGATTAAAAGAGAATAATATAATTAAAAAAAATATTTAGTAGCGAAGTAGGAAAAAACATGCATTACAGTCAAAAACCAAGTCATCAAATGTTTACATGGAAAACCCCCGCCTATGCAAAGGAAGAAACCTAATGCCTCGTGTTTGTTGGCACAGAGGTAAATATCCTATATTACTGCCTCAAAGGATTGTTTTCCAACTTCTTTTGTCCTATTAATAATATGATAAGTTCCTCATTGTTCTCCACATGTAGCCTGTGTCCTACAATAAAAAAATCAAGGTGGTTGATGGTACCTTGCTTACAATCAAGGTGGTTGATTGCTCTCGTCTCTGTTGCATGTGCCTAAACTATCTGTTAATCTTTTGTCAATTAATCAAATCACAAAAAAATCTAAATTGCAGCTCTTATTTTCTCTCTCTGTGTATTTCAAGACCAGGTTATGAGGAACACAATTGAGCCTGCCTAAAGAAAAGATATTATCTTGAAGCTAGTAGTGCAATGTTAATCGACTTGTATATTTAGCACCTGGGTGCTACAACACCGGTCTAGATGGCATTGGATGGCATTAAATGATGGGATTAATAAAATGCATCATTTATTCCCTACATCTAATTAAACTTATCATTTAATGACACATATGTTGGTGTTTTAGCACTTAGCATTATTCATGTTGATTGTCTACCGCTCCCTCATCTCTTTCTGAAAAGTTGTCATCCCATAAAGACCAAATCCAGTTGTATCACACCATCATCCAAGACATCCACGTTTCCTTTTGTTGAAGAAAACGTTGCTTTATTATTTGACATCGATATTATGATTTTCTATTGTAAAGTTTTTGGGTTAACCAAACATCATAGGCCTTTGTTTCAATTGAGCGATAAAATATCTTCTCTTCTATTTAATTTAATCTATTAAGATGTTTGTGGTTCTTCTCGTATTCCAAATATTTTTGTGCACGTTGGTTGGTTACTTCTATTGAAATTCCAATAGTAGGAATACTTCGGCGTACTTATTAAAGAATGAACTGATGATAGTAGTGTGTCTCCCATATTTCATAAAATGTCCATTAAACAAGTTGGTGAAGAAAAAGACATCCGATTCGAATAATGGGAGAAAGTTTTTCAAAAGGTCCTATCACCATATTTCCAAGAAAAGGGCAATATCCATCAATCTTCTTGAAATGATTATTCCTAACAAAATAGAATCGCAAAATGTGAACTTATGAACCACACATAAAATCTATCAAAGAATGAAAAAACAAACACTTTAAAGAAATCACTCAAGCCTTATTGTTCCAAAATATACTGAAATCATACCGGGAAGCAAAATTGTGCTAACTACTAACCATTCGATCAGACAAAAGCCTTCTAGAGTCTTAAACCACAAAACTCCAATGTATTTTCAAAAGTTTTTCCTGAATTTGATGGATTCCATCATACCCTTCTAGAATGTATGACGTATTTCATTTTTCATACTCATGCTCACTATCACACTATACTTGATCTTAGTGCGTATCGATTATGCTCTAGCAAAGCATGGTTCTAAATTGTACCACCCAACTTCGGGAAGTAAAAATGCATATATGGATATCACATTTGCCAGAAACTGTCCTAGTTCACTCTTTGGGGGAACTTAATCCCAGAACTCAGCTCTTATGTGTGTTTTTGTCTGTTATTCTTCAACAAAGAAGGGTTATGATTGATCCAAGCCTCCAACCAGCCGCCAAGAAGTTTTATGCATACATGGACATCACATTTATTAAAAACTAGTTGATTATTCATATCTTCAGAGATATCTTCATTTCTAGCCCTTGACGGCCATACCCTCAGTAACAGTCCATTTCCACAACTTCAAATCCTCCTGCAAACGAAAGGGGAAAGACTTGGTACTCCAGCCGTTGTGCCACTACAGGTTTATTCAAACATGTGGATTGTACAACTTCCTAACAGAAAAGAAGCTCACGTGACTTTAGAAAGATACAAGGTGAGATTGGTGGCTAAAGGCTATAATCAAACCTATGTGGTAGATTGTCAAGAAAGTTTGCACATATCTTTGTTGTATCTTTGCTGGGTAACCTTTGTTGGTCCTTTCAAAAATTCAAGACGGGTTGTCATATATCCAAAAATCATAACCAGGTAGGTTGTGAAGCATAATTACTGTGTGTTTTAGTTGATTTAACTTGATTCAAATTCAATAAACTGAAGGCGGAATTACAAAATGCAAAGAAATTCTCACCTTAGAAGCACTGCCTCCTTTAGACCATCCAAGACCAAACCTTCCTCCACTGTTGGCTGATGGCAATAGATCATAAATCTCTTCATTGTAAATCTCCAAAACGCTGACCTGCACAAATCTCCCAACCCCTATTTTCTCACCATCCATTTCTTCTTCTCCCCCCAAAATATCCCTCAATGATCTGTAAACAATTCCGGGCTGCTTTGCACACCCAAACATCGTATGACTCTTGCCCGACCCGGTTGGACCATACATCATAACAGTACACTTGTTTCCCATCTTTACCCCTTTAATCCTTGACTCCACGAATTTCCTGTAAAACCCATCAAGGTCATCTTCTTCGGATAATGAAACGCCGTCTAGCGTAAAATCCCTGTACCCAATGTCGGTTTTCACTCTCAAGGAATTGTGGGCCGAATTGATCTGTACTGTTGATTGGGTGGGGAGAGACTTGTCTTTTTGATCTGGATTGTTGCGGATTCTGCCTATCACTTCCACCGGGTGCTCGGCTGTTACGGCGGTCGTCGTGGTGGAGGCGGTTTCTTTGGAAAAGTTCAAGCGAAGCTTCGATTGGGGAGTCTTCGATTGGTGGGCTGTTTTCAATTTTGATGATGGTGTTGGAGCCATTATTAAGGAGAAAAACGAAAATCAAACCCCAGAACTTCCCTACTGTATTCTTTCTTGGAATATAACAGAAAAATCAAAGACTTTTTGATATTTGTATAATTTCTGCTTGAATTCAAGAAAGAAAATATTCTCAGATTCGAAAAGAAGAATGATGCTTCGATCACNTCAGATTCGAAAGGAAGAATGATGCTTCGATCACATAATATATAAGTCAGAAAATGCAAGATTTTTTGCTTGCTATGAGAGAGAAATTTGACTGAAAGGTGGAATGATGGTTTTTTTCTTTTTGGAATTGAAACTAGCCGTTACATTCTCTAACGTCTATATTTGATTATTTTCAGAAAAAATAAAATTATAAAAGTAAGAGAATATTTCATTCCAGAATCCAGATCATAAAAAGTTATAAATGATTCATTAATTAAAAGTAAGAAGTGAAGTAAGTCATCGTAATATTTACTAGAGGAAATTACAAAAAAAACCAGAATTTTAAAGTTTCAATTTCAAATTTCATATATAAACTTTATTTATACAAAAATCAGATATTAATTCATATATTTCATCTATCTTCTCTCTCTAGATCATAATAACCCAAACCTAAAACTCTCTCTCTCTCTCTCTCTCTCTCTCTCTATGTTGTGCCACCACCGAAGCATCGTCAATGTTAGGCTCTCTCTCTCATCGAATAGCCGGTCAACATCTCTCTGTTGTGCCACCATCATGAGAGTCGTTGTTGCCGTCCGAAGTTCTGCTTTAGTTTTCTACCATCGAGCCTTTGATCGTGGTGCAGCTATCGAAGCCGGATGAAGGCAAGGTCAAGCAGAAACATTCGACGGGGAAAAGGAAGACGAAGAAGATTGGTTGAGAAGCGGCCGAAGTGGCGAAGTAAAGCCGACGGAAGCCGACAAGCGTTCTGATTTTTGGATTTGATCTGAGAACAATTGCACACAACCAGCGACGTTTTAGTTGTGGTGGTGAGGTTGTGGTGGCAGTGGTGTTGGTGGTTGTGGTGGCAGTTTTGTTGATCTGTACTGTTGATTGGGTGGGAAGAGACTTGTCTTTCTGATCTAGATTGTTGCGGATTCTGCCTATCACTTCCACCGGGTGCTCGACTGTTACGGCGGTCATCGTGGGGGAGGCGATTTCTTTGGAAAAGTTCAAGCGAAGCTTCGATTGGGGAGTCTTCGATTGGTGGGCTGTTTTCAATTTTGATGATGGTGTTGGAGCCATTATTAAGGAGAAAAAGAAAATCAAAACCCAGAACTTGTCTACTGTATTCTTTCTTCGAATATAACAGAAAAATCAAAGACTTTTTGATATTTGTATAATTTCTGCTTGGATTCAAGAAAGAAAATATTCTCAGATTCGAAAAGAAGAATGATGCTTCGATCACATAATATATAATTCTGAAAATTCAAGATTTTTTGCTTGCTACGAGAGAGAGAAATTTGACTGAAAGGCGGAATGATGGTTTTTTTCTTTTTGGAATTGAAACTAGCCGTTACATTCTCTAACGTCTATATTTGATTATTTTCAGAAAAAATGAAATTCCAGAATCCAGATCATAAAAAGTTTTAAAGGATTCATTAATTAAAAGTAAGAAGAGAAGTAAGTCATCCTAATATTTATTAGAGGAAATTACAAAAAAAACCAGAATTTTAAAGTTTCAATTTCAAATTTCATATATAAACTTTATTTATACAAAAATCAGATATTAATTCATATATTTCTTCTATCTTCTCTCTCTAAATCATAATTACCCAAACCTAAAACTCTCTCTCTCTCTCTCTCTCTATGTTGGGCCACCACCGAAGCATCGTCAATGTTAGGCTCTCTCTCTCATCGAATAGCCGGTCAACATCTCTCTGTTGTGCCACCACCATGGAGTCGTTGTTGCCATCCGTAGATCTGCTACCATCCAGCCTTCGATCGTGGAGCATCCATCGGAGCTGGACGAAGGTAAGGTCAAGCAGAAACATGAATAAGACTGGTTGAGAAGCAGCAGCGGTGGCGGAGTAGAGCCGACAGAAGCCGCCAAACGTTCTGATTTTTGGATCTGATCTTAGAGCAACTGCACACAACCACCGACGTTCTAGTTGTGGTGAAGTAGTGGTGGCAACGGTGTTGGTGGTTGTGGTGGTGAGGTGGTTGGGCGATAGTTTTGTTGATTTTTGGGCGGTGGTGTGTGGTGTTGTTTTAGCAGTGGTGGCGGTGGCGGTAGTGACTGGTGGTATGTGAGGTGGTGCTGCTAGTGCGGTGTGGTGATGGTGGTGTTGCAAAAATGGTCATGGAGGGTGCGGTGGATCAGTGCGACGACGTCGTGGTGTTTTTCGCAATATGTTGATTCGTTTAAGGTGGTGGTGGTGGCGTTGCTATCGCGAGGTTGTGGTAGTGGTTGGCGGCAATGGTGGCAGTGGTGCCATTGGAGGGAGTGGTGTAGTGATAATCACAAGTGTTGGTTGTGGTCACAAATTATTTGGTTGATTGTGACTATTAAATTGGTTAATATGTGACCAATAAATAATATGTGATCAATGGAAAAGATAAATTGTGACAAAAAAAAAAACGTGTGACCTAAAAAATTGTTAATTTGTGATCGATAATTTGAATGAAAAAGATAAATTGTGACAAAAAAATGTATGACCTAAAATACTATTAATTTGTAATCTATAATTTAACAATTTGTGACTGTCCATTAAATGATGACTTATAATATTTGTGATTTGTGACCTAAAAATAAAATGTGACGTTTCAATTTTCGATTTGTGAACAATGAACAAATTGTAATCTATAAAATTTTTGAATTGTGACCGTAAAAAAATTTGTGACATATAAAATTTGTGATTTGTGATGAATGAATAATATGTGACTTATTAATTTGATATATTTGTGACCGATGAACAAATTGTGACATATAAATTTTTTAAATTGTGACCGTAAAATAATTTGTGATATATGAAAATTGTGATTTGTGACCAATTATATGGAATTTGTGACCAAATTAAATGGAATTGTGACATTAATATATTTAATTAATAAAATATATGTTTAATTAATTAATTTAAAAATAAAATCTAAAAAACTCTAAAATTTGAAATTTTAAACATAATCTTTTAAATTTAAAATTGGTAAAACTAAATCTCTTGGTTATGAAAACTTCCCTATATATGTTTTGTGTCAAAATAACAAAAGAGAATGGTAATAGAAGTAGGACTGTCTGTTGATCGATTCGGTTCAATTTTGAAAAGACCCGAACTGACCCAAAAATTTCGGGTATTTAATAAATGGAACCGTCGGGTCCAAATATAATTATGGAACCGTTCGGGTTCGGTTCGAGTCGATTCGGTTCCATACCATAATTAATTTTTTTAATATTTACAGCAACACTGCATAAATACAACTAATGACATTTCATTCATAATTTTTACAAATTAACGTAATCCAATTCAAAAACATATAAATAACTAGCCGTCCAATAAGATTAATTCAATGCATACAAATACCAAAAAGTAGATATTAATATTACAGCAATACTACATAAAGTAAATTCATTTGCTTCAAGCAGTCTACCTGCATAAAGAAAATATTATAGCAACACTACATAAAGTATTCATTTGTTTCAAATTAAAATGGGCTAATGGGTTTTAAAAATGATTTGGGTTTTAAAATTAAAATTATGAAATAATCTGATTTATTTAATTAATTTGCTAACTTGTTTAAAAAAAATAAAATAATTTAATTAATTCAATATAAAAAATAAAAAAATTATTTAGTTTTGGTTCTTATTCGATTCTTTGATTCTTGGTCTAGACCCGAGATCCGACCCAAACCCACCGGTTCTCGATTCGAGTACCCGTTCGGGTATTTAAAGATTTTTTGCTTGCTATGAGAGAGAGAAATTTGACTGAAAGGCGGAATGATGGTTTTTTTCTTTTTGGAATTGAAACTAGCCGTTACATTCTCTAACGTCTATATTTGATTATTTTCAAAAAAAATAAAATTCCAGAATCCAGATCATAAAAAGTTATAAACGATTCATTAATTAAAAGTAAGAAGAGAAGTAAGTCATCCTAATATTTATTAGAGGAAATTACAAAAAAAACCAGAATTTTAAAGTTTCAATTTCAAATTTCATATATAAACTTTGTTTATACAAAAATCAGTTATTAATTCATATATTTTATCTATCTTCTCTCTCTAGATCATAATTACCCATACCTAAAACTCTCTCTCTTTCTCTCTCTCTCTCTCTATGTTGTGCCACCATCGAAGCATCGTCAATGTTGGGCTCTCTCTCTCATCGAATAGCCGGTCAACATCTCTCTGTTGTGCCACCACTATGAGAGTCGTTGTTGTCGTCCGAAGATCTGCTTTAGTTTTCTACCATCGAACCTTTGATCGTGGTGCAGCCATCGAAGCCGGAGGAAGGCAAGGTCAAGCAGAAACATTCGACGGGGAAAAGGAAGACGAAGAAGATTGGTTGAGAAGCGGCCGAAGTGGCGAAGTAAAGCCGACGGAAGCCGACAAGCGTTCTGATTTTTGAATCTGATCTGAGAACAATTGCACTCAACCAGCGACGTTTTAGTTGTGGTGGTGAGGTTGTGGTGGCAGTGGTGTTGGTGGTTGCGGTGGTGAGGTGGTTGTGGTGGCGATTTTGTTGGTGGTTGGCTGGTGGTTTTGTTGATTTTTTGGCGGTGGTGTGTGGTGTTGTTTTAGCGGTAATGATTGCTGGTATGTGCAGTGTGTTGATGGTGGTGTTCCAAAAATGGTCGTGGAGTCGGCGGTGGATCGGTGTGACGACGCGATGGTGTTTTTCGCGATGTACTGATTTGTTTATGGTGGTGGTGTTGCTGTCGCGAGGTGGTGGTGGTGGTTCTAGTGGCGACGTTGGCAGTGGTGCTGTTGGAGGGAGTGGTGCGGTGATGGTCACAAGTATTGGTTGTGGTCACAGATTATTTGGTTGATTGTGACTATAAAATTGGTTAATTTGTTACCAATAAATATTATGTGACCAATGAAAAAGATAAATCGTGATTAAAAAAAAACTCATGATCTAAAAAACTGTTAATTTGTAATCGATAATTTGAATGAAAAAGATAAATTGTGACAAAAAAAATGTGTGACCTAAAAACTGTTAATTTGTGATCGATAATTTGGCAATTTGTGACTGTCCATTAAGTTATACTTATAATATTTGTGACCTATAAATAAATTGTGACGCAATTTTTGATTTGTAAGCGATGAACAAATTGTGACATGAAATTTTTGAATTGTGACCGTAAAAAAATTAGTGACATGTAAAATTTGTGATTTGTGACCAATGAATAATATGTGGCTTATTAATTTGATATATTTATGAACGATGAATAAATCGTGACGTATAAATTTTTGATTTGTGATCAATGAATAAATTGTGACTTATAAAATTTTTGAATTGTGATCATAAAATAATTTGTGACATGAAAATTGTGATTTGTGACCAATTATATGAAATTTGTGATCAAATTACATGGAGTTGTAGATTAATATATTTAATTAATTTATTTATAAATAAAATTTATAAAATTATGAGATTTGAAATTGGTAAAACTAAACTTCTTAGTTATGAAATCTTCTTTATTTATTAACTCCACGTTTGAGCCCCTTTTTTGAAAAAAAAATGCATTCTTGAACATTGTTTAGATCTCATTTTAATCACACATTCTTAAATAAAATAATATTACACGTAAATCTACGCATTTTCCTTATTTTTTAACCACACATTTTCCATCAATACATTAATCAAAATTGGGCTCAAACATGCCCTAAGTTATTTGTTTTTTTAATATATGGATAAAAAATTATTAACGCAGCTCTACCTTCTTTGAACTTACTTAGCCCTCGTTTGGTGCACATTTTGAAGGTAAGAATGCATTTTTACTGTTGATATGATGGGGAATATATGGTTGAAAAAGAAGGAAAAATTATTGATGTGATGAAAAATATTATTTTATTGAAAAATGTGTGGTTGAAAATAAGTAGAAGAATGAGATTATTTTAGGTGGCAATTAAATGTCATTATATGATTTGTTCGTTTAAATATAAAGTCAAAACATTCATTCAGCCTCCGTTTGGTGCACATTTTGAAGGTAAGAATGCATTTTTACTGTTGATATGATGGGGAATATATGGTTGAAAAAGAAGGAAAAATTATTGATGTGATGAAAAATATTATTTTATTGAAAAATGTGTGGTTAAAAAATGAGTAGAAGAATAAAAATGAAAAAAATAATGTGGACCAAAAATTGCCTTAACATGCCAACACTCAGTTCCCTCTCGTCTCATTTAAAACAAAATTCTTTAATTCTCATACTCATAATCAACCATGCATTCATGTAATAAGATATTTTACACGTAAATCCAACATTTTACCCTACTTTTTAACAATGCATATTTCAAAAAATCACTATTCAAAATAACATTTTTTTCAAAATAATCGCCATCAAATAGGGGGTTAATTGCGAGCTTAGAAACTTTATATTACAATAAACAAGAGAACCTTTTTACGCAACGACTTCTTCAAAATAATGAGTTGCAATTGATAGAAAAAATTAGACATACAATGTGAATGATCACTTTTTGCATCAATGTATGGCTTCTATTGTGACGTTGGATGAATATATACTGAGGAGGTTGCTTGTTATTCGATCTCACTCGTTGAAGAATGCATTTCCTTTTCAAAACTTGCATTTGATGGATTTCTTAACTATATACAATAAAAAATGTTAAGATAATACTGGTCTCAAGTGAATGGAGACCTCTCTTTATCCGTCTTCGAGCTTTGAAAGAGGTTTCGTACCATCAATTATATATAGGTAGATTGATTAACGTTCAATGAATATGAGCGCCATTATAAAAATATATGCAATTACATGTCATGTGTGCGTGTTAAAGTATGAAATGAATTCTTTTGAATTATTACTTTAGGCTCTACATGCGGTAACTATTGTGCATTGAGTCAACCTCAAGATAAACTTGATTGGCAAGTTCATATATACATTGCATGTTAACCTTCATATCGTATTCTATTTGTCACATAAGAATAGTAACCATAAGGAGATGAGGTTGAGTGGCCATCCTGATCCTCGGCCCCGTCCTAACTCAAGGCAAACTAAGCCATTGCCATGAGCCTCAAAATTAGGCTTACAAAGTTTCTTTAAAATTTAAAATTAATTTTTATGAAAGTTAAAAATAAGTTATTTATTTTAGAAATGTTCATTTCATTTATATTTAAGAGTCTCTTAACAAGTTGTCGCCTATGACCTCATTGACCTCATAATTCTCAAGACCGGCTCTGATCCTCCTAGACAATTTGACTCTTGATTTTCATGAACATGACAACAATTAAAATATTCCCATTTTTCACCCTTTGCACTTAGTTATTTTTATTGTTTAAATTCAAAAATAACTAATCATTTATCTTAAAACAAACAAAACAACAATTTGCATTTAAGTTCTGACTGAAATACTAATTCAAGTGAATAGTTAAGGGCACGTGATTTTGTGGAGTCGATGCCTTCCATACCACCACAAGATTATAAAATGTAGGGATTTTATTCAGCAACTTCAGATGACAGTTCTTAAATGAACAACTGAAATGTTGTATTGAAAATGTAAAGACGCTAACTTTGCGAGAGATTGTCTCATTCGCATCAAGACATATGTAAGAACGAATAAAAAACTTGGGAAAGTGGACACCAAATTCATAATGCCTAATAAAACGGCTAGACATTTCCCTAAATCGACTTTCAATATATAATTCCAAGAACCCTTATACCTATTGAACACCATCAACATTGAGCTTTCTCATCGTTTGTGGTAGCTAATGTTTAAGTTTATGTTGGGTAGGAAATTCGTCATCAGCGTACACACTTTGTTAGTTTTTTTTTATTATGGTGGGTTTTATTGCGAGAATGAAATTTGCATGGAAAAAAAATAAATTCTAGACAATTCAATTGCCTAGAACTTATTGTATAAAAATTATTAATTAAATGTATTTGATTGATTGTTTTCAATTTAGAAAATATTATACTTGTAAATTTTTTATTGGCGAGTAAATGAGAGCGATAGTATTCCCTGAAAAATAAAATCATACTCACCTTAAACAAAATATTTTCTTTGATTTTTAAGAAAATATGATCATGTGATCAAAAGTAAGAAAAGTAAGAATTTGAATGAAACAAATACATTTTTCATGAAAAATGCTGACAATCAAAGGCATCCTATAAAAATAATGTGAAGTGACTAATGGTCTAAGCAAATGAAAGCAGAGTGCTAAAAGTGAAGATGTTATTTTTTTTCTACTAAAAGAGGAGAGAAATTAGCTCCGGTTACTCCGGGACCAATTGCGGCCGCGGGGCCACCAATTTCAGAAAATTTCAAATTGCCAAAACAAATTCATTTCCCGCCCAGTCAAAACCCTAATTTTTTATTAACCAATAACAAATACAAAATACCTCTTTCTCATTTCTTGACACAAACTACAACACACACAAATCTGATTTGTTTATTTATTATTGAATACAAAAATGTCGACGTCATCGGTTCGCCGGATGAAAGAGAGCAGCGGAAAGATCGCCACGGCCGCCACTGCATCCAGACCCTTCAAATCTCTGACCCCAGTTTCCGCAAAGTCCATTTCCACCGGAAAGGAGAACTCGAGGCCGACATCACGGGTTCGGGCTGCTACACAGAAACCTGAGATCCGGCCGATGGTCCGGATTGATAAATCTACAACCGCCGTGGCGGTGGAGGAGTCACGTGCCAGGAGGTTCACTTCATCAGTGCCCAGAGGTAGGAGCTCTAGTCCCTCTGATATTACTAGAGGTTTCGGTGATTTGAAGAAAAATTCTAGGGTCTCATTGGGCCCACCGCAAAAGAAAGTGAATAAAACTAGCGATTTGAATGAAATATTGGTAGAACGCTTGAATCCTAGAAGAAGTTTTTCGAAGGATACGGAGAAAAATGGGGTAAGTTTTGATAAATTGGAGGAAAATTACGAATTAAATGGGAAAATTGAGACTAGGGATACGGATGGTAACAATTTGAAAAAAGAGGGATATTTAAGCTCAATTCCAATAAAAACATCGGATTTTGAGGATTTTGACGTGAAGCCCAACGTTGCTCTGGGTTCAAAAGTTAAGGCTTTGGAGGAAATAAAGCTGAAATCTTGTCTGAGTGAAGTTGAATTGGGGTCGAATTCAAGAGAATTTGGAAGGGTGAATAAAGTGGATAATGTCTCTGGGGATTTGAAAGAGAATGCCATGAATAAGTATCCCAGTAAGCTTCATGAAAAGCTTGCATTTTTGGAAGGGAAGGTGAAGAGGATAGCTTCCGATATAAATAAGACCAAAGATATGTTGGATAAGAATAATCCAGATGCTACAAAGATGATATTGTCAGATATTCAAGAAAAGATTTCTGGGATTGAGAAGGCAATGGGTCATGTTGTCGGTAATGAGGGGGATGCGACAATGGTGTTGATTAAAAATGGTGAAAATGAGCGGGGAAGAAAGTGTGCGGTTGATGTGAAAAGTTCAGTCAAGGGGTTGAGCGGTGAAGAATTGGAAGCGAGGTTATTTCCTCATCATAAGTTGATGAGAGAGAGGATATTATCAAAGACAACATCAGAAGGTTCGGAGAACCATGAAGTCAATGCTGGAGAATCAAGTAGTGAACTGCATTTGGAGGCAGTAAACGAGAATCTGATTGCATTGGAGTTTTTGGCTAGTTTGAGTAAGGAGGAAAGGAAGGTTCATAATGAGACTAGTGAGGTTCAAGAAATGGATGATGCTGTCACTTCTGGCTCACAAACTTCATCTTTGAATTTGTTAAAGGGAAAAGATATTATTGATGATATGTTAATGGCCGATGAAGATCTCAATGAGTTTGACGATGAAGAAAGAGTGCCGACAGTGATAACTGAAGAGGAAGTTGATGAGAGTTGCATGTACCAACTGAATGATATTGGGCGCAAGACCTCTACAGGAGGATGGTTTGTTTCGGAAGGAGAGTCTGTTCTTCTTACTCATGATGACAGCTCATGTTCCTTCTACGATATTGCCAACTACGAGGTATGTTGTGTCAATCATATTTTTTTCCCTAATTGCAGCCTTTATTGTATATTAGCTGCATTTGGGGTTGGTTTTTCGCACTTATCTCTAAACTGATGTCATCTACTTCTGATAGCAAGTATTGATTTATGTAATTTATAGTAGTTACAAAGCATAGTGGATTGTGAATCTAGAATAATAATATAACCTTTTCCAAATGTAGTCAATTGCTAATTTTTTTGCCTTTTAGGAGAAGGCTAACTATACTCCTCCAGCTGGAATCTCGCCAAACATGTGGAGAGATTGTTGGCTAATCCGAGCCCCTGGTGCAGATGGTTGCTCAGGTAAATATGTTGTGGCTGCATCTGCTGGGAATTCTGTGGATTCAGGTTTCTGCTCATGGGACTTTTACACAAAAGATGTACGAGCTTTTCACATTGAGAATGATACTACCCGTGTGAGAACGGCCCTTGCTCCCCTATCTAGCAACATTTACAGAAGAAATGCTTCATCTACAGTTACGACTACTGAAAATAGACAACACTGGTATAAACCTTGTGGACCTCTTATTATATCAGCAGTCAGTTGTCAAAGGATGGTGCAAATTTATGATATTCGTGATGGAGATCAAGTCATGAAATGGGAGTTGCAGAAGCCTGTGACGTCCATGGATTATGCGAGTCCTTTGCATTGGAGAAATAGAGGCAAAGTGGTAATAGCTGAGGCAGAAACTCTCTCTCTATGGGATGTGAGCTCTCTCAGTTCTCAGGGATTGCTCTCTGTTTCTTCATCTGGACGAAAAATTTCCGCTCTTCATATTAATAACTCTGATGCAGAAATTGGTGGAGGAGTTCGGCAGAGGTAATATATATCGAGTGACCCTAACTACCTTTTAGTTATTTCCAACAATTCACCAACTGCTTAAGGTGTCCCTTCTATTTTCTCTTAAAAAATTGATTTATTTTCCATAGATGCTGACTGCGGATCTTTTAGTTATTTCTAACGTTCTCTTGTAGAACTGAATGATCATTTTTCATTGAACTCTGTGTCTCTGAATACTTTACATGCACAGATTGACATTTTCCTTGACACTTGGTACTAGGGAACTGGGATTTCTTGATTTTTGTCAACACGTCCAATTCTCAGTTACTCTAGTAATTACTATAATCAGGCTCCCTTATAGTTATTTCTGTTACGCAGAGTTGGTTCATCTGAAGTGGAAGGAAATGACGGTGTGTTCTGTACTCCAGATTCCATTAATGTACTGGATTTCCGGCATCCATCTGGTATAGGTCTGAAGATACCTAAAGTTGGGGTGAATGTGGAGTCAGTTTTTTCACGTGGAGATTCTATATACATTGGATGCACTAATTTAAGGTCAACTGGAAACAACCAATCCTGCTCCCAGATTCAACAGTTCTCATTGCGCAAACAGAGGCTTTTTAGCACCTATGTGATTCCAGAATCAAAGTCTCACTACAATTTCAAGGCATTGACACAAGTTTGGGGAAATTCAAGCCTTGTGATGGGAGTTTGTGGCCTTGGTCTGTTTGTTTTTGACTCTTTGAAGGATGATGAAATGCCTTCTTTTGCAATGGATTATGGCAACACTCAAAACGTGAAAGAAATAATTGGACCTGATGACATGTATTCTCCTTCTTTCGACTGCTTGGCATCTAGAATTCTCCTAATATCAAGAGATCGTCCGGCTCTGTGGAGGTACTTGCTGTAATTGTATTCAAAGAGAGAGTTTGTTGTATGGATTGTGCAATGACTTATTGCTGCTGCCATTTCCAGTTCTGTTCAGATTACGTTTCTTGTTTATTTGTAAGAGATACGTGCTACCAATCTGATGGTATTGTATTATATATTTTGTGCTATGTATCTTAAAAACTGGAGTTGCATTTTTCAATTGAAGGTGAAATAATTACTGTTATTCTACTTTTACATCGAGAGAATACTCTTTATCATGAAAACTTGGGGTTAATTCCCTAAATAGTCACTGAACTTTGCCAAAAGTTTTCAAGAGGTTACCAAACTTCAAAATTTCCCTAAATAGTTACTGAAATTTACAAAAAGTTCATAGGGCGTCACTAAACTTCAAAACTTCCCTAAATAGTTCCTAGGGGTCCCAATTTGCAAAGTTCGGTGATCTCATGAGAATTTTTGACAAAATTTAGTGACTATTTAGGAAAGTTTTGAAATTCAGTGATTCTGTAGGAACAACTTTGCAAAGTTCAATGACTATTTAGAGAAGTTTTGAAGTTCGATAACCTCCTGAAAACTTTTGACAAAGTTCAATGACTATTTAAGAAATTAACTCGCAAACTTGCAGTGGGCACAAATAGCAAGGGCCCATTTTGTTAAAAATGTTTTTGATTTGTCATTTTGAAGATTTGTTTTATGACATTTTATTCTATTAAATTTGATTATTTAGAAAAAATATAACAATCTTATGTTAATATATTAACAAGCAATCTATACATTTTAAAGTTGGTAAAATTTAGAATAATTTTTTTCTCGCTACAAAAGTAAAATAAAAATAAATAATAAATTGAATTCAAAATAAAAATTAATGATGTGTATTGAGAATATTTTTTAGAATCTCAATCAAGAAAGAGAAGTGATTGGTGTACACCATCGTGTAAATAATTGTTAGAAGCTTAAGAGTGTTTGGTAGGGATTTTTGGGGGAAGAATTGATTTTTGAATAGTGATATGATGGGAAATGTGTGGTTGAAAAAGAAGAAAAAAGTATTGATGTGATGAAAAATATTATTTTATTGAAGAATGTGTGGTTGAAAATGAGAATTGATTTACTGTAGAACATGAAAATCTGTACCAAACATACCCTAAAATTTTCAATAAAATTTCTAATTTTTAAAACTTTATTGAAACATTTACTTTCTACGTTTCCAGTATTTTCAATGAAAACAGTCAAAACGTCTAAAATACATTTGAGTTTTATGCCATAAATTTTAACCCTGCTTTCAAAAATACATTTTCAAAAATACCACACCAAACACGGTATTTTAAAAAATTGAAAACATCAAACCAAACGTTTTCAAATTTCAGTTGTCATTTATACGGAAATGAAAAACTTCGGATCCATAAACATTTGAATTACATGTTAACAACGAATATCGCTCACTTGCAAAACCTTATCTGATAAAGATCATGAGCAACATATCCCACTGTTACAACTCGCCCGTCAAATTGTCGTCCATGTAAACAATGTGCTGCAATACAAGAAGCTTCAGCCCTTTTATACTCCACGAATACGGAGCCAGGCTCAAATATATCATCAAGCTCAATTATCGTTTCCTTGTCACCTTTCTCAGAAGCATCCAACTCTTTCCCCCCATCGCAGTCCAATTTGATAGCACTGCCCATCTCCACAACATCTTCCTGTAATTTCAACTCTTCTGTAATAAATGGCTTATTTTCCGTATCGAGGACCCCGGCAGGCAAAAAATAAGCAATGTTATCACTGCTTTTTGACTTCTCAGTAGAATTGTTCTGTTGGTTAGTGCATTCTCCGGTAAAATCACTAGAATTTTTCTCGCACAGGGGATCTTGACCTGCCATATCCTGATCATTTGTAGGTGAATCGCCAGTAAATTTATCATCAGAATGGCCGTTATCCACCATCGCAGATTTATTTTTGTCCTCAGGTTCTTCAGAATTGTTTGACAGATTCAACGTACCTGGATTATCTTCATATTCTTTGTTACCTTCAACAGCTTGAACTGTGTCTTCAGAATCTTGAGGAAAGCTCGTAGGATCTGATCTGTTAAGCTCAGATAATTCATTACTTCTACTTTCTACAAGTACTTCTCTAATATTGCTCTTCATATCAAATTCCGCGTGATCATGATCTATTGTAGGTTTTGAGTTCATTACTTCATCAGATGCTTCAGTTGTAGTGAAAGAGTTGGTGGGCTTCACAATGTTGACAGATTTAACAGTGCCAAATCTGCATCATTAAATAGAAGCACAAGAGTGATTCTTTATGCGGAAACTACAGTAGTAAGAGGTAGGGTGTCATAATATTTAAAAAATAATTTATCAATGTGAACCTGGCGCACTCTAGCCTTATATCCTCCAATATTTCTTCCTGTTCTGATTCCGACAATGACAAAAGCCCCTAAATCACAATTACGAGGATAAGAGGACAATACTAGGTACATGTTTAACATGGGAAACAAAGATGTTCATCAGAAAACAAAACCAAAGCTTCAAAGTAATACCACATTTTTCAGCTTCAGAACTTTTGTGGGCTTCTCAAGCAGTGGCTTCGCATGCTCGGGGATTCCATAAAATGGTGGTTTTCCAACAGTTTCCTAGCATTAATATTTTGTTTAGCAAACAATTGAAGACAGATATAAATTGGAATTAATAATAAGAGTAAACAAGAAAAGAGAGACGATGAAGTACCAATATCAAGGGATCTGGAGTTGCTTGAACTGCAGTTACAATTTTTCCACCCAAACTCATACCATTAAGTCCGGAACATGCCTTGGGAGTAACTGAATGGTCAACATACTGAAACAATTTAAATAATTAGTCGGGATAAAGATCATACACACAAATGGGAGAAAATATGATACCTGAAGACAAATGAGACAAAAAGAAAATGAAATTCAGATGCAACGGATCAGCAGGTATCCAGTTGCAATACAAGTAAATGCTGACCAATTACATTCACAATGTCTAGAAAAAAAAAAGGAAACGATCATATATAAGGATTTTTTTTACTTCAAATTATCAACCAATGTAATGAAACAGAACTCAGTACATAAGATAAAAACTTGAGAATGAAAAAGACTGCATTGCTTCATATTTTTCAAAATGTTGAAATAAACGATAGACAATAAAGAGATTTAGGAATACCTCAATAAATGCACATTGTTCATCAAGATCAACAATAGACTCAAAGTGGTACGCTTTCACAGGTCCAAAGACTCCAGCAATCTCCAAAAGCTAAAGTACGTGTGTAAAAGTATTCGCCAGTCATGTAGAGAACAGGATGAAAAAGGAAAAGCAAAACCGTAAACTACAAATATCCATGTTATGTTACCATTTCAGAAGAAATAAGTTTCGAAATTCCACCAATAAAGATCTGCAACCACTTGCATAAAAGAGCTTGTTAGAAAGTGAGTGGAGCCAAAAAAAGAAAAGAGGTGTAATAGCATATATCACAATAAAACAATTTGTGATAGCGCATAACATGTTTCTTTCTTTTTGATCTTCATTGCACACCCATGCAGAATCTCAAAATGGGTGTAAATAGACGAACAAATGCATAAATAATGGGTACAGACGGGCATAAAAACACAAACCCCTGGATTCACTTGATTTCCAAATTTTTTCTCTTCTTCAGTAAACCTTTAGAAGTAGGTGACACTGATTTCCGTCACTTAGCTCATGTTGTTCTAGCTATCCTAAGTCTGTTGTCTTTCTAAATACCTGGGGTGTGACTTTTGTGCTGAAGTAATATGCTAATAATAGATTAAGCCATAAGAAGTGGGCATAGACATGTAAATTAGGGGTGGGTATCAAAACTACATCAGGAGTAAGTCCAGAAGTCCAGGGCAGGCCCATAATGGACCGAGAAAAAAAAAAGAAGAAGCAGCAAAGATAATCATGCCAATAATGAACATGGCAGCTTCAGTTACCCAAGCATACACACGATGACACAAACAACACCAGCTACCAGTAACATTGACTTCTACATAAGTGGATACATTCCGAAACTGAAAAACAACAATCTATAGTATGCTATAAGTAAACAAGAACAGGGCAGAACTATAACCAAAAATCTCCAATCTCAAATAGTATACTACAGAAATTGGGTTTTGCATCATAGGGTAAAATTAAAGGACTACGAGTTTGTCAAGTGATGTTCAAGATGCATACCTTGTGGGGTGAATCTTCTACGATATCACTAATTGAATCAACTGCACCAACTGATTTCTCAGAAGCATCAGTCTGCATGAAAATAGCAACTGTCTGAAAACCTGCTACATGAATAGTAACCACAATATACCTCAGAAACCGAAAATTAGACAAAGAAAGTACTTTTCAATGGGAAATAGCAGATAACTACATTATTGCCATTGAAACCTCAATCACAATGACGTTGATGCATTGATAGGAAAGAAACAGAGAACCACTGATTATCAAGAAAAAATATGACAATCAAATGACATTATGTTCAATCTATAGTTTCAGCTACATGAACTGATGCACTAAATAAAACAAAAAGATGCTTAAAAGAAACAGAATGTTTTATTTGCATGGCCGATAAAATCGATGCAAATATCTCACATGCCTGAAGAATAAGACGAGATCTAAAGATTCACATAACATCAGGATTTAAGAAAATGGCATAGAAGAGAAAAGCTTATACTGATTAATGAAGTCCTGTTACTGCCTTACAACATCTTATATATTGTTTCTAAACTTGTAAGAGTATATTGATGCAATCCACCATCTGGTGAAAATAACTTGCCATATATACAGGCATTGACTTGCAGCGTAGGTAGGATCTATTACACCAAAGCAGCGTAGGTAGGTTCTATTTCACCAAAAGAAATCTAAGTGGATGAGTAATTTTTGCACAGTGAAAAGATCATAACTAGTAGTTATTTCTCCGTGTCGACAGAAAGCAGAGTGCAACATACGCAGCAGCAGTTATAACAGCAGAAACTTGAGACTTACTAAATTTCATCAAGAAACAAAGAATAAATAACACCAAACTGCAGCAACGTTTTTTATTCCATCAGGTGATACAGATAACTGCAAAATTTCAAACCCCAATAAAATTACCCATCTGTTTCCTGAACGCCTAATATAATTTCTTCAGTTCATTTCACATAGTAAACATGATCATAGAACAAGTTACACATGTATAATCATAACAGCCAAAGGGTCGTCTTGCACGAAACTTTAGATCCAATTTTGTGAAAAGATATACAAAAACTCAATAACGTGATGATGATTAATATCTCTAGACCAAGCAATGCATAACTCTATTCTACCCAATATTACAAATATAAAAGAAAAGAAGGCTATTTTCAACATTGACATTGAATGAGCTATCATACAATCTCAGTTCCTGCATCTTGTATTGCCCCAAACATTATGAAAATCTATGCTCTGAGATCCTACTACTTATCATCATATATATTGAGGTAGACCAACATGAATGATTCTTTTTTGCTATATTTTAGTATGTCTTTTACTTGTTGGGAAGGGGTATGATATGGTGGTTAACCATCTCCATACCAAATATAATAAGTAGGATTAGTCCTAGTCAAAGAATTCATCCCACACCAAGAATTTGTAGTGCCAGAACAAAAGAAGCTTGAACAAGGTTTTGGCCTAAAGAGAGATTTTGCTACATATTGAATAGCTCTCTTATTCTTCCACTCTCGCTACATCAATAATACACATTCATATTTCTCTATCCTCTACCTTCTGCGCCAAAGCCAAACCGTACAAGATCTTTAATTATGCCATGCCCCTTTCTTGAGGAAACAACAATAGCTTGTGATGTCGAATAACAGAATACAATAATTTAATTGGAATAAATAGGGAAGAAAGGAACTGAATGCAAAATGGCAGAAAATTTTACTTTTAACAAGCGAAAGTGTAATACATACCAACATGAATATATTTCTGCTTAGCATCTCCTACTAATTAACCAAAAAAACATATGTAACTATTGTGATCAACCATAAGAAGAGAGAGAAGGAAGTTAGCATGGTTATAATTCTTACAGTTACTTCACTGTAGTCTTTGGGGCGTCTGAGTTTAAGAACACTCCCGGCAAAGAATTTTCCATCAAAAGAGAGAGCAGCTGATGCATCCTCAGGAGTTAAAAATTCCAAAAGAGCTTGGCCCTTCTCCTTGTGTATCTGCAGTAATATACAGAGTCATTAAATCCTTACACAAGCAGGCATGGCAATTATAGGTAAGGCAGACTAAGAAAATGACTGGATACATACTATACAGCTGATACAAGGATGGGTTCCTTGGATGTGGTTGACACCTGAAGATAGCAGGAAGTTATTAACACATTCCATTAAAGCTTTCTCAGAGGCTGAAGCAGACAAGTTTTCTACATAGAGCCTTCTCATAGGTCGGGTTGCTTGAGTCAGTTGAATGGATTCAACGACATGCATCTGTGAAGCATGGAAATAAACACTATCCGGCTTCACCACATTTGGAGCCACTGGAGTAACAATAGGCAACTCGGTTTTGTTCGATGATACTATTTGGCCTGAAGACTGGGGATCAGAGAAAAGGTAATTGTTGCTTTCTTTTCCAACAGGTGGGAGATCCCACCCAGCAGTTCTCCTCTCTGGAGAGCGACGAGTAGGAGAAGGAGTTTTAGCAGCAGTATCAGTTTTCCTCTTTCTAGGAGAATAACCACCAAGCCCACTGGAAGATCCAGCATGTTGCCCGTAGTGACTACTGGAACCATTACTTAATATCCTCTTCCTGTCAGCATCAGATTGTGATCTTCCTGATCTGTCTCTTGATGAATGTAGTGATGCTTCTTGTTCTCGAATATCTTTAGCTGTATGCTTATGTGTCTTAGGTGAACTTGAGGGAGACCTTTTACCTCTGTCTTTGTCACGATCCCTACTCCTTGATCTTCCTGATCTGTCTCGCGATAAATGTAAAGCTGGTTCTCCTTGATCCAGAGTATCTTTCGATGTATGCTTGTATGTCTTAGGTGAACGTGAAGGAGACCTTTTGCCTTTGTCTTTGTCACGATCCCTACTCCGTGATCTTCCTGATCTGTCTCGTGATGAATGTAAAGATAATTCTCCTTTTTCCCGAGTATCTTTAGATGTAAGCTTATGTGTCTTAGGTGAATGTGAAGGAGACCTTCTGCCTCTTCCTATATCACGCTCTACACTCCTAGACCGTCTCCTTTTCGGTCTTGATTCTTCATGATGGATTCGTGTTGCATCCTTGTATTTTCTTTCCAGATGATGTTCTCTTCCAGTGTCTCTAAGTTTATCTTCATCTTCATTATGGTGTTTCCTTTTGCTTTCAGTTTCAGATTTTCCTCTACTTCTGTCAGTATATATATCAGGTCCCACCATGCCTCTTCCATGTCTTTTCACAGGTTCATTCTCAGAATCATGGGTCAAACGATAGTCATGTTTCCTATTGAAGTGAACCTGTCTATCCTCAATATTAATTTGACGTTCACGCTCTCTATCTTTTTCAGATCTTCCTTCAATTCTTTCAGCTGATCTGTCCTTCCTGACCGAATTTCTTGATCGCATCTTACCAGATTCATTTTCAGAATCACCAATTGACCAACCATCCTTTTTTCTTTTTCCATGAGAACTTCTCTCAATTTTGCTGCTTATATTTTTTACCATTTTAGCCTTTGATTTCGGGGTTTCCTTATCTTTATCCATGACTAAGTTCTCTTCTTTAATCTCCCTTTTTCGAGAACTTATCTTTTGGGAATCATTTAAAGCATGTCTCAAGCCACTGGATACAGCATCCTCATGTCTGTGCCTACCCAATTCTAGATTTTCAGAAGCCTTCTCAATTTTCTTTTTTCCTAATGCACTATCCACTCCCCCTGGATCATCTTTAACTTTCCCAGCAATCTCTTCCTTGCTTTTTCTTCTAAGCAATATCTCATCAAAACTAAAAGGTCTTGTCCTCGCTGAAGTGCCCTCCAAGCAATTATCCTGGGATAGTTCAACAATGTTCACACATCCCTCTTTGTGCTGATTGGATCTCCCCATAGCCTCAGTTTAAGCTTCCTTGGGTCTAGAGTTCCAGTCCTGCAGTGTGCCAATGAATTCAGAAGGAAATTAGGAAAAGAATCATTTGAAGACAATAAACATGAATATATGTCAAAAAAAGAAACATTTGAAGACAATAAACAACAGCAATTTTCAATGACTCTAAGTTCTAGTGCGACGTTGCAGTTGTCAACCACCCAAATGTACCAGTGTTCAGTAATTAAGAATCATAAGCTTTCTACATATCCTCTTGCGCACGGCCTCATAATGTATAGTGTTTGTGTTTCTAACAAAAGGTTTATTCTTTGTTGTATATTTCCATTAACTGATAGTTAAGGAGAAGTGCTTTAAAAATTTCTACCAATATAGGATAATATTCAATAAAGGCATCAACTATGTAGGCATAAGCTAATGAAACTTGGAGTCCTTGAGGCCGTTCAAGCACATTTGCAATCAAAACAAGATTCTCACAAGACTCGCAACAAATCCAAAATCCTCAAAGTTATCTCTTGTGCCAGAATAATAGTGTTCAATCTTGTCCTACGAGAGTCAAATTCCTCGGCGTGTCTAACTACTCTACATTGCCCAAAAGCAGCACTGAGGCATTTAAAACAATCCCCATATATTGGGAAATTATAATAAAAAATGATAGCATAAGGCAACAGAATATATTATTGACAGGTTTCCGACTTTCCGAACTTTCACTTAATCAACCCAACTTGTACAACCTTAATAATGATTAATTTAGCTAGACTTTTTCTCTCACATGTTTGTGTAAATCACAGTTGCCAGAGGAAGATTAACATCAAGAAACAACAATTTTATATAAATTCGAAAGAGTTGATTTGAAATCAAAACATTCACAACAATCAGATCGAGTGCGATTTCAACATATAAAGCCCCATTTTACACAAATAAATCTGACACTACCTTCCAAGTTTGGTGATGAAGAAGTCGAGCAGAAATCACTGCAACACAAGATAAATTGGTGCCAAGGGGTGATGAATACGCTCCTTTATCCGTCTCCTTCACACTAAATTGTTCACTATTAGTGTAATTTCAAGCAAAAACCCTTATCTCTATCTGTTCGTAGAGACGACTTTAACGTGAGATAATTGGGTAAAGCCCAACTTTAGATTTAGGCCCAATTTTTTTTTCTTTTACATGAAATTGGCCCCTTTTACTACCCAATATTTTGTTGAAGTGACTGTGATCCATATTAGCCCCTATTTGATGATAAAATGGATTTTTGGATAATTATTTGTGGAAATTACACAAAATTAGAATTTTAAAAATTTAATTTCAAAAATCAGATCGAAGGTTTCACTTTTCAAAAATCAAATATTTTATTTTTAAATATTAAATATTAATTGTACAATTTTCATCCAAACCTTAATCAATTTTGTCCCAATTTTCTTTCTCTCCGTCACTGTCTCTGCCTTCTTCTCTCCACTCCCCGCCACTCTCTACTCTCCTCCATCTCCGTCGGCAACCCAACCTCCACGAGACAACGCATTGGATTTTTTCTTCCTTCTCTCTTCTCTGTTACTCTCTCGTTCGTTGCTGAACGACGCTTAAGTTCGCCGCAAACAGCGACATCGAGAGTTCGTCGCAGGAAATCTGGTGTTGGTGTTCGCGATAGCGTTGATGGCTTGTTGATAGTGTCGCAGTGCTCTCCATTGAATAGATAGGGCGAGGTAGTGGTGATGTGTGGTTGTTCTAGCAGTAATGGTTTTGGTGATGTGTGTGGTGGTGATGTGTAGTTGTGGTTGGATCTGGTGGTGATGTGTGGTTGAATCTTGACAACACTAATGTTGTTGGTGGTTCCCAGTTGTCGCGATGATGTTGCTGTGACTACAGTCGACAAGATCCCATTTTGGATAATGCAGCGGTGCTTTCAGTCGATTGGATTTGCTGAGATGGTGGTGAAGTGTGGTTATGGTGCTTGTTTTAGTGGTGGTGATTTTGGTGATGTTTGATTGTGATTGGATCTGGTGAGGTTGTGGTGGTGGTGGTGTTTGGGTGACAGTGACTTTGTTGGAGGCGGAGGTTAAGTTGGATGTAATGGTGGTTG